AGGAGGCTCAAAAGGCGGCCAGACGTCAAGAAAAAGAAAATCGAAGAGCTGAAAGGCAGGCCGAGCGACAGGTGCTTCGTGAAGAGCGGCGCAAAATGCATGAAGAAAAAATGGAGATTCTCCGTCAGGCCTTTGGACTTCCAAAATAAAGTGGTAGTTTTAAATAAATAAACGTACTACCCAAAGCGATTACTTAGTTTCAATGTCTTTTATTTTCTAGTTTGGCACAATACACTACCTTGAGAAAATGCAAATGGGCCAACAGGTGTGTGGTAAGGACAATTTTTCCCAACCTTGAAGGTGTTTTAACGAGTTCAGCTTTTCAGGTGGGCCTTTGGTAAGCATATATTTGCTCACAACTGCATAACACGTAAAGGAATTCCTTGTTTCATGGCTGCTGGTTCTGCAACCCCATTTTTATCATCAAGTGATCTCTCTTGATGCTAGCCAAGCCACGTAATAGGCTATCCTGTTGGGCTACACTACTGCTGCTTACTTGAACTGCAGAAGAGCTTGAGTCTACATTTGTTGTTTGTGAGGTAAGTGACAGGTCTCGTGACAGGTTCTCTGGCAAATCTCCACAATCAATGCAGAGGTTGTGAAGCACACAGCATGAAATGATAAACTTGGACATGTTATCCACTGTCCACATATCCAACCTGTGCAGTTGTCTGAAACGATTTTTTAAATCGCCAAAAGTATTTTCAATAAGCACCCTTGTCCCGGAGAGTCTTGCATTGAAGGTTTTTTTGATGCTGTCAAGATTCCCATAGTCTCGAATTGGTGTCATCAGGTACTCCCGGAAAGGATATGCAGCATCCCCCACTATATGGTACTTGCTAGAGCACAGTTGTGGCAAAACACTTGAAATCCTGGACCGACGGAAAATGCGTGCGTCATGAATTTTGCTTGGGTAGCCAGTGCTGGCATCAAGAAACCTCTTCTTGTTGTCACAAACACCTTGAAGTGTCAAGGATAGGTAATGGTGCCGGTTTATATAAACAGATCGCACTTTCCTGGCTGGGCACCTGATAGGCATGTAGCTTCCGTCAACACACCCAATTGTGTCTGGGAATCCCGACAGCTGCAAGAGAAAAAAATGTGCACACACATAGTCAAATAAGCATGGCACTAAGGGTAATGAAAGGTGCCAATAACATGCGGAAAAGTTTAAAACAAACTGGAGACTTGAAGCTCATAACGGCGAGTGCAATACACTACCGGTACACATGATTGAAATTAACTGGCTATTTAATTGTGAAGCATCTGGGAAAAATAATTGTAATAACTTATTTAAAAGGTGCATTCTGGCACTAACTAATTCATAATTGTAATAGTAGAGCGGTAAAGAACACATGGGACCGCACGAAGGGGAATTAATGACACATACAGAGTACATACAGAGTGCACAAGTAACTGAACTCTAGGTTTATTCACTGTACATGCAGGACAAGTACTAGATGTACATCACTAAGCAGAAGATGGGAAAATAGAAGAGATATGAAACAGCATCACATGGTCAAAACTACTCAAGAAAAATGTCCGATTGCTGACAGCATTTGTAATACACATGAAGGAGGCTTGACTGTGTGGTGCTCTTTCATATCTCTTGCATTTTTACATTTTCTGTTCATTTGCAGTTCTGATCCTGCATATCAGTTGCTTTCAGTCCTTATTGTGGTTTGAGTAGGTGTAATTCCTCTTAGTCTGGTCCCTTGAGTTGTGTAGAGCTGTATGACATTGGTGTGAAAAAAACTGTAGTTTATACCTTAAATAGCATGTTTACAAAAGCATAGTTACCTTCTCAAAATCCACAGCAAGCTTCTGCAGGTCACTGGGGAACTTGATTACATTCGGTGCTATGTCGAGCAGGAATGCAGTTACTCGGCCCATCATTCTGTGGTGAGTGCTTTCTGCGACTTCAAAGCGGCCAGCGACATCTCTAATGCATGCTTTGTTGGCTGCATACCTGAAAAGGAGAGGATACTCTAATTAAATAATGGAATTAAGCTTGCTGTTGCTGTCAATGACTGAATAATGGTGTTAACAATGCTGTCGCTGTCAATGAAGCAAATTAGCAAGACAACTGAAGTCAGAAAACACGATTCCACCTTTTTGGGTGACACCTTAGAAACTCAAAATATTTGATTAGTAGAAGCACTATCTAAATAACAAATTCTAATTTTAATTCGCGCATTACATTTATAAGTGTGGAGATGAAGCTCACTGTGAACCTGCTGACACAGCCGATTTGAAATGCTTCGTGAGCAAAAGTTTTCATGGTTGTTTGTAATGATGCATCATGAATTATGCTTTGCCACTGATTCTAGTAACGAGAATTTTGTGAAGCTCAGTGTGTAGGTGTACAAACTACGAAAGCATTTCACAAAATACTATAACTCTATTACGTTCGACACTCGCTAGTAGCATTTAACAAGTTTAAAGCAAGGTGGTCCAATGACATGCTGCGAATTAGGTACATTTATTTGCAATATTTCATATGCCTCTAACCCACTATAAAACGGATTATGCAGTGACCTGATGACAGCGGCATTCCTAAACGTACGGACACTCACCAAAGAAAGGAGAGAATGTGTTCTTCAGCCGACTTGGCAGGCAGGCCACCATGATCACTGTTCTGAGGGCAGTGCGGTGACTTGGCGAATTCTGCTGCCAAGAAGTCCACGACCGGCCGCGTGACGCGGAAATTTCTTTTGAACTGGAAGAAAACAGGCCTTTAAGCAACCTAATTAAAACAGAAGCCGAATGACTCACCTCCTCGTCGGAGTAGCTAGCCACCGTCTTTGTAACATATGCTTCCACTTTCGGCCTTCGCTCTGGCAGAGAAAAGAGCTGCTGAAACGCTGCTGCATACACTTCGTCGTCATCGTCGCTGCTGCTTGAACTCGACTCGGACGTAGAGCTCCAGCAGCTATCGCTGCTGACATCGTCTAGCTCGTCAAATACTTCGGCAAGACGACGACGTTTTGCTGCCTCCGCCATCCGTGAATCTGAAGGCAGGCAAGGTGGACGTTCACTGCCAGAATCTGCCGCTACGACGTTAAAATCGTTCGAGCCCGAGCACCACGCACGCTTCGCTGCCGCCATAACCGCCCGACACGACGCCGCAAAATGTAAACAAGTGAGGAGGATTGCTGAGAGGGTATGTCCGGACATGACGTTCCAAACACGTGGTTTCCTGCGTTTTCCACTCACTCCGCTTTTTAAGAGGGAGCAGACAGAACTGCTCCTGGCTGCTCTCGGCGCAGCAAAAGCGCTCTCGCTCTACCAATGGATGACAGTGCTCCTACTCCTGTTCGACCACTGAAACACGCCGCCTCGGAAGAGAGCACTTTGAGCGTGCTTTTGAGTGCACCTGCTCTCCCAATGGAATTCGCCATAAAACTCATATGGCGCCCGCAGCGCTTGCAAACGGTATTCTGTGACGGTATTCTAAAGCTCTCTATAGTGTTGTCTGGGTAACGCATCGGCGCGAAATGCAGCACGTCGCATTTCGCGCCGGTTGCCGTCGGGCCGCGCTGACGGACGCTGGTCGCGCCTGGCGTCAGACTATAGTGCTCGCGTTTTGCTAACGTAGTGTCGCTGTGCCCAGCATGCGCGCGCGTCAACGCTACATTGGAGTATATTGGGCCTTTCATGATGCGCTCGCGGCCGTTTTGCTAGCTTCACATATGCTAAATTTGGTGTTACGCGAGATCAATGAATGACGAAATATATGACTGGTACAAACATGATAGTCCTTACACGCGTGCTATGTAAGAACATGACAACATACCACGCTCATAGTGTGGTCGCGGCCGTTTCGCTAGCTTCACATATACTAAATTTGGTATTACGTGACGTGAATAGATGACGAAGGTAAACGACACATCCAAACATGATAATCACGACACGGAAGTCATGTAAGGCATCATTTACCTCCACCTCGTAAGGTTGTCCTGATTTTTAAGTGACAAAACATTTCTCATTCGTGCATCGCATATCATCGATTGCCACTGTACGTGGGATCTGCATTTTTTTTTTGTTTTTATGAGGAATACTACTATGTAATAAAACAAGTCGTAATTACTTATATGCTACTTTTAGGTAGCATATACAGTACAATCAACGCCTCCTGGATTGCCTGTGCCTGCCGGATGAGCGCGAGACGCTGGTCATTTATGACGGCGCTGCCTACGTAGGGGTAAGGGTCTTTGTACTTAGCCTTTAAGATTGGCAATTTTGGCGTTTGTTATTAATTTTAAAGGATGCCTTGTATTAAAGAAGTTGCTTGCTGAATGACGGCGTCACTAATGTAGGATTAACTAAATTACGTTTACGGCTTTTAAAAACTTTTTTACGTTATTTTTGTTCCATATAAGCTCCAAAAACGTAAAAACTTATTTGAAGACACCCCTACCTGAGTAGCGCCATCACCGTGGTTCCGACGACCGCCGCTTTCTAAGTGACTGCCGATAATCTTGGAGGCACAGAAAATCTAGGAGGCGTTGGTACAGTACACACGAACACTGCACATTCCAGCACCCGGGGTATGTGCGTATGTATTGTTTCAATCACAGTTTGGTTGTAATCATAGAGGCTCATACAATAATACCATTGTATGAAACTCTATGGTTGCAATTAACAAACCCAAAACAAATATTCTGCGCGAGCGTTTAATGAAGCTCGAGTCAACGTAAAACAGCATGCTTTCAATAAAAAGACACAAAATGCAATTTTTAGTGTTTGTGGATTCTGAAACAGTATGTTGTAGACCAATGTATATTCAATGGGAAACAATTGATTCAATTGTGCCTGAACGACACAAAAGCACAGCCTTTGAGTTGTCTAACTCAGTATGTTTACGTCATTGACGCCTTGTTTTAAAAAAAAGTTAAACGCGTCCTCTGGTGGTACATGCGACTACATAATGAAGTGCGCTCTTTTTCGCTCTTTTTAGCAGAATTTACCAGTATCATATAGGTGTTCTGTGCCAGCTCTGTGGCGCGTGTGTTATGCGCGCGCGTGCTTCGGTCTGCTCGCTCGGGTGTAGCGCGTTTGACGTGTGGAAACCTACCGAACTGCTTCTTGTTATGAGGTAAGGTGTGGGTAAGGTCAGAGCACTTGTGATCACCGTCTTGTGTACTGCGACTTGATTTGACGGGGTGGATGCACGCAGAGCGGTCCCTCCTGATTAGCACCTTTGGATTGACACCATGATCACCAGCATAAAGAGATACAAATTTGCCCGCCAAGCCGCCTCCTGGCCACTCGCAAATGTATCATTTGTGTTCCAAATGTGCTTGCTGCGCTCATGGTGAGGAACAGCTATGCATGTTTTTAAGAATTCGGCGAAACCTTCTGGCGCGTTGGCTGTTGGGGGATCTGTTGCTTATTTAGAAAGCTTGCCTGTATTTTGGAAATTCCGAGTGGCGTGTGCGGGCGACACTCTCTAGTAGCGCTTCATCTAAAGCTAGCATGCTACGTTCGAGAGCTGCTTTCGATAGAGGCCTGTCGATTTCCCGGGAGCCATACAATAGGGGTGCGTTCGTTGCTGCGCGCGTCTAGTCTTCGTCGTAGCCATTGGGTCTAGCCTATGTGGCTGGCGTCGCCAAGCCGTGTTTCAAATTGGAGCTACAGCATTGCTTGAGTTTCGTTTACTCTGAGGTGCAGCACGAAGTATAAAAGCTCGCTGATTCGCCCGCTTATCTGCAGTGCACACGTCTGACTCCCATTCGTCACAGGAAGCAGGCGGGCCAAACATGCTACTTCGAGCTGGTTCTATAACCGAGTTCTTTCTTGCAAGTCAGAATACTTGCGCTGAGGTTGAATTTCTGTTGAAGTACTCATGCACTATTATTGCCATTCGTGCATGGACGATCACTTTTCCCGACACCCCGATTTCGGCGCTGCTTGATGCTATTAGTTCTGAATTCTTTGACGTCTGTGATCGGAACACGTTTCTGCAACGATGTCTTAGCACAGTTGTACAATATCCGACTGGTATGGCTGATACTAAAAAAAAAAGAAAGATGTCTGGCGCTGTTCTTGTGAGATTTTAAGAACGGTGTGGCTAGCATCACCGTGCCAAGCCACCGTCTACTGAAGAGATGGCGCTACGTCGCTCTCGTTTAGTGGCCCAGTGTCGTCGACGCTGGCCGCTAGGGGCATGGAGAGTGAGAAGCAGGTCATTGCTAGATCTCTGCAAACAACATAGTCTTGAAATTGTTAATGCGGGGCCTAAGTTTCAGGGGCAGATTACGTGGTAAGTTGGGCACAGGCAGTCGAGCATTAATTATTGTCTTATCACAGATGGAATCTATGGCAAATTTAGAGAGATGAGAATAGACGAGAAAGGCATTAACAGCTTGTGTAGTGATCATAAACACATAACATTAGAAATGGGATAAAAAACTTAAAATAAGAACATAGAGTCAAAGTGGAAGCTCGTATTTAAATGACACACAAATAACATATAGCCGCAAGAGGCTTAGACGAAGTAGGAAATCTATTGGGGAAACACTGGGAGTATGGTGAGCTGTTACATGTAATGACAAGGGAGATGGAAAAAGAGAAGGAAGCGATTTGCTGGTAAGGAAGGCAAAAGCCTAAAAGTTGGTGGAACAGAGGAATCCGGAAAGCGATCGAGAAGCGACGCGAGGCATAACGGGAGCACAGACAAGCAATAAGGGAGAAGCGGCCACAGGATGAAGTCAACAAAATATGGGAAATATATTTAGAGAAAAAAAAATGAAACACTGTGCAGAAATTGGTCGAAGCAAAAATTAAAGGGGAAAGTGAATGCTGGATGACAGATTCGCGAAAAGAAGAAGGCTGCTCCTAGAATATTTTGGAGCCACCTAAAAGTGCTAGGTTGGAAGTCTGTAACAATGCGACAACATGGGGTAGATGAAGGAGGAACTAAATTGAAAAAGTACGAAGCACTAGGTTATATTCTAAAGGTAACAGCAGGTTCATTTAAAAAGGTCGCCCAGGGAACTTCCCCGGTGAGTAAAAATATGGAGAAGAGTGCAACCGAGAAAGAGTTAGTACTGAGAATTTCAATTGGAAGAAGGCCGAAGGAAAAATTTCTAAGCGCACTACTCCGGGGTTAGAGGGGGTTCACATCCGCCTCATTAACGAACTAGGAAATAGCACTGAAGAAGCATTACTGAAATCTGTAGAAAAGTACTAACAAGGGGAGGAAAAAACGGCACACTTCGCAGAATAGTAGAATGAACTTAATCTATAAAGGCAAGGGAGAAAAGGTTAACATTCGCTCGCACAGACCGCTAACCATTACATCTGTGCTATACAGGTTGGCGATGCAGGGAGTAAAATTAAATATAGAAACGTGGCAGAGGAAAATATTTTGGGAGAACTTCAGAATGGATTCCGAATTGACAGGTGGTTAGACAATAACCTGTTTGTTCTTACTCTGTGTATAGAAATATCTAAAATAGAAAACAGGCCCTTATATATCGTAGCTTATCTGGACATCACTGGGGCATATTACAACCTTAATCACGAAATTTTGTGGGACATATTGAAAGAAGTGGGCACAGGTGATGAATGTATGCAGCTTTTGAGAGAAATACACCGAGAAAATATAGTTTGCATAGAATGGGAAGGAATAAGTGGCAACGACAGCATTGAAATTAACAAGGGGCTGAGACAGGGATGTCCTTTGTCACCGCAGTTATTCATGCTATACATGGTGAGGATGGAAAAAGTACTAGAGGGTAGCAACATTGGATTTAATCTGTCGCACAAACAGGCTGGGGTGATGGTTAAGCAGAAGCTTCCAGGATTATTTTATGCAGACGATATTGTCCTATACGCGGACAGTCAAGACGATATACAGCGGCTGGCAGATATATGCGGAAGGGAAGACAAGGCTCTAGGACTAGGGTTTAGTGCAACAAAATGTGGGTTGATGGTATTCAGTGATCAGGAATACCAGGCGGTCTCAATACAGGGCCAAGGAATACGGAGGGTAAGCAAGTATAAGTACCTTGGAGTATGGGTAAATGAGAGAGAGAGATATATGGAGATACAGGAGAAAAAACATCGGAAGCAAAAGGAAAGAGGAGTGCTGGAATAATGAAGCGCAGAGCATTATGGGGATGCAATAGCCACGAAGTGCTCTGAGGTCTATGGAAAGGCACAATGGTTCCAGAGCTTACATTTGGGAATTCAGTGGTGTGTATATAATCAGAGGTGCAATCGGGAAGGGCTGTAAATCAAAGGACTGTGGGACCTCTTGTGTTGGGCACTCACGGGAAGACGATGACGAATGAAGTTGTAAAGGGGGATATTGGATGGAAAGGTTTTGAAGTAAGAGAAGCTCAGAGCAAAAGGAGATTTCAATAGAGGTTTAGGAAAATGGAGAGTAGATAGGCAAGGAAAGTGTTCAGGTATTTGTATAGAAAGAGCGTGGACACAAAGTGGAGAAACAGAATTAGAAGGCTCACCAGTAAATATACGGCTGGCAGTGTGGGCTATATGGCAACAAGGAGCATTAAGCGAAAAGTCAGAGAGGCGGAGAGGATTTATTGGATGACAGCCATGGAAAAGAATCCGGCTCTCAGTAACTACAGAAAGGGCAAGAACAAATTAAGTTGGGGCGGTTTTATGATAATTCAATGGGAAGAGTTTTAGTGTTTAGTGAGGTCGGGCTGCCTTAGAAGACTTAGTCATAAATCGAGATTCAATAAAAACAAAAAACAATGTACATGCTGTGGGAGAGCTAAGGAAACGATGGAACATGTTCTGATTGAATGCGAGGAAATCCACCCAGGTATACATACGTGTAGGTACAAGCCTATATGAGGCTTTGGGTTTTAGGGACAAACGTGTAAAACCGAACATGTCTGCAATAAAAGCAAGTAAAATACTGTTGGAGCATTGGGGTTAGAAAAGTAGAGGTAAAGGACAGAAATAGCGTGAAAATGAGGTCACTCTGCCTGAAGAGGCAGATAGATGGAACATTAATTTATTAATGTTTTGTTATAATAGGATTGATTTAATCAAAGTAGCTAATGGTGTCATCGTTTGGTCGGAGTGGCGGACAGACTCTGTGACGAAGCACTCCACTCTGGCACAGGGCAACAGGAGGGAATCTCCCAAAGGAACACACACACGCTCCCTCTGGAGCAAATGGCAGGATCGGAATGGAACGTGATATGCGCGTCTCACTTCTTGCTTGAGTGGGCATGCTTCACACAGCGACGCTGCTCCATGAAGACGTGAGCTCTGACGTGAGGCGCAACCGCCGCGAGCGGCATCTGTTGCGTGGGGTCTCGCTTTGGAGAGAGCACCAGGCTCTTGGAGTGAATGGACACAGCAGGCAAAACGAACCAAGCCAAACAACACACATTTAAGCCGAATTATTATACAAATTGTGATCAATATGCTAAAAACAACCTTACACAATATTACACAACACTCAAAACATAACAAACCCTAGGCGGTGGCGCCAATGCTTGACTCACCACAACTGCCCACAGCAGACAACCTGCGGTGCCGTCTACTGCGTACCGCCGCAAGAGCCAACAGCTCGCTCCGACCGCCACACGCCAAAGAGAACTGCTCATCTCTCATGTGCGGCCAGGCATCACCGCCAGCGCTAGCGTTCTAGCCATGATGATGATGGTGCACACCACGCCACCTACCGCTCAGTAGTTGTTATCCCTGAATGAGGCTTACGCGCGAGACACTTGCGCCATGAGGCGCAAACAACTTTTTAGGCTGCGTTAGAATCTCCACAGTTGGCGCACCCAAAGAGTGCACTGTTTCAAGGCACGGGGCGCTTGCGACTTCTGGTTGAATTCACCGATTTCTGCAGAGCAGGAAAAGTTGCTCCTTGTAGTAAATCTCGCGACGCAGCTGCCGCAGATCTGCCAATGGATGACACCATAAGACATTACGCCAACATAAAAAGAAAGTTTTTTTTTTTCATTTATATTTGCGAGCCTGGTGGCACACTAGTCACCACCCCGTTATAAAGAGGACGCTCATAGCATCCGAATACTAACGGTATTAGCGCTGAAAACATGGAGAAGAAAAATTGCTACAATAACTTATGGGGCAGCTCTG